CACAAGGTCTTGCCTTACTGTATGATCTTGCATAGCTTGGCTTACAGGTATTTAGGTGGAGGCCTATCAGACCCAACGTACAAGGATGCTGAATTTCCATACAGATCCTCTCCACAGATAACAGCAATGTTTTGGAATTTGGGAAACTGGTGCAGAAACAGATTTGAAAAATGCCCGGTTCCAGAAAGATTTCAACAATTCATTCCACACATTGACTACACTATCGATGAGGATCATGAAAAATTTGATGAAACAAATCACAGTTCAACAATTACTTCATCAATGTCATCAAGAACTTTGGAGGACATCTTTTCATGAATTGCGAGGCTGGTTCGTTGTATCCTCACAGAGAAAGACTCAACGAGGTTGACTTTAAAACTTGCTTCAATGACTATCATGACTTGATGGTGGCAGCTCGCCTTGGAAAGGATGGCTATATCAAGCAAATTGCTGGATATCACACAGATGACAACGACACACGAGTTCGACAAGTCTCATGGGCAATCTTTGAAGTATCTTGGGGAAAGACAAAGGATCGAGATACAGATGAGATTGTTGACTTGACAAGAGCTAGGATGAGAATGACACGTGTGTGCGTTTATCACGTCGGACAGAAGTATGCATCAGACTCTGCTGGGATTGTTGGTGAGTGCTTAGCTGTTATGGCTTTTGAGTGTGCCAGATATCAAGTTGACTTCATCGCAGGTGATGGAAACAAGGCATGCTATTACAGCACACCAAAATCTCCAGGTGTCCCTACATATCAACACAGCCTTATCCAATTCTGGATTAACAGAATGGTAGGTGTTGCAACACAAGCCATGCGCAAGAATTTTGATCCAACTTGCCCTCCAATCAGGGTCAAGCATTTCATTTCTTGCAGTTATCGTGACTTGGATTTTCTTGCAACGCACTTGGATGGCATTACAACAGCAACATACACCGACGAGCTCATGAAGAAGACAACTGGTAAAGGTGATTGTTGTATGTTAACAGTTGTTGAGTGGGGTCATTCACGTTTGATGTGTGAGGAACACCCAGAAGACTTTGAGGATGAAGATCACATGAACTATGTGGGTGAATTTTACTTCAAGGTAAATGAAACTTGCTTACATGGTGATCACAACATCTTCATGGTTGCTCCAAATGATCGCGATGCTCATAATCCAATTCTTATCCATCTTGATCCTTCTGATATGTCATGGAATGAACGACATCATTACAAACAGGCCTACAAGAAGAAGCAGTATGCTGATTCAAGAAAGGAAAGACAGAAGGAGAAAAAGAGAAAGGCATATGAAGATCAAGCATCGACGTATCAGGGCAACACAGAGTGGGGTGGATCCTCATCTTCAGCGTCCAGACCATGGAGATCAAGTGAGTGGCGATGAGTGAGTGTACACTTCTTTAATTGAAGATAACACAGCATGAGAAGCCGTGTACAGTTTTTCTGTGCGTTCAACTTATTTCACACAGATGGCATATACTCTTTTAGATAGAGATAATGCCACAAGTGTCTGAACTTCAATTTAATGTAAAATAGAGACTCTTGTAAATAGAGATACTATATACATTTATCTCCATGAATCATCCGGCGAGCAGACCACTCCGAATGGAGCGAACTTCAAAAATTTACCAACTTCGATTTCAGTCCATTGTTTGCTTGAATGAGCAACTTTGGAGATCCGCTATTTCCGTTTATTTCGTGATTTGGTCAATTGTTTTCGTATGACCTGAATTTCTGAATCTTGCGAACCCGAACTTTTCAATTCGAACTTTCACCGGTAGAGCGAGGCATTTTGCCTGTGGAGAGACCGTGCGCGAAGCACCATTGGTCACTACTGGAAAAATTAGCGAATCCGCTGTTCTTTTTCGACATGTCCTTAGGACATTCGCTGCTTTCACGTGTTTTTCAATTCGAAGCCACTGCGTAACTCCGGTTTCTTTTGCTATTTGCCATTGTGTAGAGAAGTCAGGAAGATACTCTTAATACCAATTGGGTACGGCAAGGCGTAGTGCTCTACTCATTGCTTTTGAATTTGTGCCTGTGTTTTTGTTTCGACCTAATACCTACATAGGTACATGCATGAGTATTGAGCACATTTATATGCGCCCCTCAAGGCTCAAGAGGTATATAGAGTAACCCTGTAGACAAGCACTGACCGGCAACAGGCTGAGAGTAAAAGAGTGCTGTCATTGGGGAAGACGCCTTAGCTGATCTTGAAGTAGACGCTAGGGCCCCTCTTCACCCCCTCCCCCCCCCTCCACACCTCCCACGCACCCTAAGAGCAGACTCAAAACATTGTAATTTACAGTATTTTTGTTCTTTTCGGATCAAGAAACCACATTTTGCTACATGGTGAAACCTCCGTAAATACCAGTGTTTTTGCTAGGTGCTGGCCAAAAAACACTGTAAATACCGTGCTTTTTACTACCAGAGGCAAAAAACATCGTAAATACTGTGGTTTTGGGCTTCCGACCCGCCAAAAACATCGGTATTTACGGTGTTTTTTGCTCCGAGAGTTGCAAAAACACGCGAAAACACCACCGATTTGACGATTTTCGGCCACTACGGAACCGAGCAAAAACGCTGCAGGGGTAACACCAACACCAACAACAACAACACCAACAGCAACAGCAACAACAACAACAACGACGACAACAACAACAACAACACCAACACACAACGCACAATGCACAACGCACAACGCACGCACAATGCACAACGCACAACGCACAACGCACAACGCACAACACACAACACACAAAACACACACACACACACACACAACACACACACACACACACACACACAACACACACAACAACACACAACAACACACAACAACACACACACAACACACACACAACAACACACACACACACAACAACACACAACAACACACCACAACACACAACAACACACAACAACACACAACACACAACAACGACAACAACAACACACAACAACACACAACAACACACAACAACACACAACAACACACAACAACAACAACACAACAACACACAACAACACACAACAACACACAACAACACACAACACACACAACAACAACAACACAACACAAACACAACAACACACAACAACAACACAACAACACACAACAACACACAACAACACACAACAACACACAACAACACACAACAACACACAACAACACACAACAACACACAACAACACACAACAACACACAACAACACACAACAACACACAACAACACACAACAACACACAACAACACACAACAACACACACAACAACACACAACAACACACAACAACACACAACAACACACAACAACACACAACAACACACAACAACACACAACAACACACAACAACACACAACAACACCACCATCAACAGCAGCAGCAACAACAACAGCAACAACAACAGCAACAACAACAACAACAGCAACAACAACAGCAACAACAACAACAACAACAACAACAACAACAACACGAACACGAACAATACCAACACCAACAACACGACCAACAACACCAACACCACCAACAAACCCAACCACACCAACAACACTAACAACACTAACAACACCAGAAACACTACCACCACCAACAACACCAACACCACCAGCACCACCAACACCAGCAACACCACAACCACCACCAACCCCAACCACATCGCCGAAGCCTTTCAGTCGCTTTTAGCAGACTCCCCTTCATATTTTTGGAAAGAAAATGGCCGCGTTTACCAGACTCCACTTTATGTATTTTTCCCTCCCCTCTCCCCTTCATTTTTTCTTCGGTTCCTTTCTTGCTTACCTACCTTTCGTGTTCCCCCTCTCAAGTACATATATATACATACACATATATACATATATTGTTATTAGGATTCAGTTTGCTTCCAATAAGGTCCCAACAACCAATCTTCGCAGGTTTCTTGTGCCATTGGACAATGCATGTCCGCTGATAGCATCACAGGCTCCGGGAGCCAGGCGGTGGGTGCGGAGGGTTTTCTTGAACTTGACGCCATAGGGCTACTACAGTCACAGGTGGCCGGGACCATCTGTTGGACGTGGCCGTCCGTTTTGAAACTGTTTGGTGCTGATAAGTCGTGGGATGACTTTGGTGCGGCGACAGCCAAAACAAGAGGGCATTTGCGCCTTGAGAGCAGGGAACAACTGGGGAATCAGGTGATTTACTTTGGACAGGGTTTCCTTATTCACATTTACTGGTTTTCTTCAGCGGTTCACTGGAAGTGGAGTCCGTGCCAATCACATTGGTAGCAGAGCTCCGGCTCACTACCGGAGCATCCAGGGCAGTTATTCACCATGGCTGCTACCTCTGATGGGGATGGCGGGTCCAACACCGGAGTTGGCTCACAGTTAGCCACATTGGTCCCGTCATTCGATCCGTCTGCAGACAGCATGCTGGAGTATCAACAGAAAGTGGAACTGGTGTTAATGGCCTGGCCAAAGAATCGCATCACCGAGTTGACGACAAGATTAATCCTTAACTGCAAGGGTTCAGCGTTTTCTAAATTGCAGCTGCACAGGGAGGAGCTCATGGAGAACGATGAAAAGGCCGTTAAACGGCTGATTGAACTTCTGGGAGGCCACTGGGGCAGAATTGCTTTGGAGAAACAGTATGAGGAAGCGGAAATTGCCTTGTTTCATCTTGCTCAAATGCAAGATGAGTCCAACGACAGTTACTTAGCCAGAGCTGATGTGGCTTGGAGCAAGTTGCAAACCAGAAAGCTTTCTCTGGATGATTTGCAGGCTTACATCCTTTTGAGAGGATCCAGCCTCAATGCAGAGGACAAGAAACGGGTAATTTTGGAGTCAGACAACAGCCTGGAGGGAAAGCTCACAGTCAAACGTGTGAGCGAAGCCGTCAGGTTGCTCGGTGCCACTTTTTTCATGACATGACAGGGGCCAGAAAGTCCACCAGGACCAAAGTATATGGAACAACAACGTTGGTTGCAGAAGATGAAGAACCAGAAGGTGCTTTTCACCACATGGATGATCAAGGAGAAGAAGAGTATGTCGATTGCCTCGTGAATGAAGGCGACGAGGACGCCACATTGGTGGCGGATTTCGAAGCTACAGCAATCGAGTTGTTGCAGGATGATCCGGAATTATCCTCAGCCTTTAGTGCCTATACTGAGGCTCGTCGCAGGTTATCCGAAAAGTTCAAGAACAGAGGCTTTTGGACGACATCCAGCCGATCAACGTCACAATCGACCAAGGGAAAGTTTGGTTCATCAAAGGGTTCTGGGAAGGGAAAGAATGCATGGCAGCAAAAGCCTCGACGTAGCTTGCAAGATCGAATCTTGAATTCGTACTGCCGGAACTGCAATAGGAAGGGTCACTGGAAGGCGGAATGCCCATTCCGTCAGAGCAACAGTCAAGCTTCCTCAACAGCTGCCGGAGGAACCACAGGATCGTCGAGCATGCCAGCCACTGCAGTATCCACAGATCAGCAAGACCAAGATGTTCTTCCCCTGGAATTTTTGAACCTGCCTGAAGCTTTCCAAGGAACCATAGATGATGCTTTGCCTATTTTAGTGCAAACTGTTGATGAAAGCACCACACACGGGACTTGGAGATCTGGTTATCATAATAAGATTCATGGGGAATCCTATGGGGATAATTGGGTAACCTTAGATAGCCCCACACCACGAGAGCGCCTCAAAGCCTGGGGTCTCAGGAGTGAGAACCGAGCACCCGCCAAGATGCTGCTAGCCGACACGCTGAGAAGACAGCGTGAAATGCATCCGAAACACCAGATGTGTGTTCATGCCAAGAGCCCACTGACAGAGTCGAAACATGTAGGCCAGGCACAAGCATCCGATGTCCGAGAAGCCACCATTTATTTTGAGACACATGGGTCTCATGGCATTTTGGATTTAGGAGCCAGCAAAACAGTGATTGGTAGTGATCACGTTGCCGAGCTAATTCAGAGCCTCGATGTTGCTGTCCGTCAGAAACTTTCTAGGTGTACTTGCAATATCACATTTCGGTTTGGAAATCAGGGCACTCTCCATAGCAGTCAAGCTCTAGTGATTCCTGTTGGACCGTTGTTGTTGAAAGTTGCAATAGTACCCGGAGGAACGCCTTTCCTCATCAGCAATACGCTCATGAGAGCAATCGAGGCAAGGATAGATTGTGCATCACAGACCTTGTCGAGTCACCTGCTTAGCTCGCCGATACCACTGCAACTCACAGCCAAAGGTTTGTTTTTAATTGATGTGAATCAGTTAATCACGCAATCCCAGTCGAGCAAAGCAACCGGTGACCCAAAGCGGTCAAGAACCTGTGCCGAGACATTTGTGTCCGATGAGACCAATGCCAAAACAGCTGAGTGTTCACCCAAAGGTCAAACCAATAATCAAGTCAACCATACCCATAAATCTTTTCACGAAACAGTCACCATGCAAGATGTCAGTGTCATCAAGTCAGATCAAGTTCAATCGTTTCCGTCACTACCACTCAAAGCACCCGAAACATGCAGTCAAGACATCCGTGCTCAGGCCAGAACGATAGGTTCATCGGTAGGATCAAGTTACCGTGATACCAACCATGGCATCACTCTCCCAGCGCCTTCGATCGTTGCAGATTCCAGCAACGACGACCGTGGAGAGCCTGGACCACCTTCGACTGGAAGATCTGGTCACAGAGACCATTTCGTTCGGCCAGAAGCATCAGGGCCATTCCTATCAGGAAGCATGGGAAGACCAAGAATGGGTCCACTTCATGATCAACCGCTACCAAGGATCGACGAAGGAGAGCCACCGCAGATTCATGAGGTTTATCGAGCTCAAGATCGAGGAGATGGAACAAGCACAGATCGTGCTGCCTCGCCGCCAGACCCCGAGCGGGCAGAGTCATCTCCAAGCGCGACCAAAGCCCATGGCAAAGAGCCTAGCCACGCCCACCTCTTTGCAGGCTGGGGTCGACGACTGGGATGTGGAGTCCGAGATGTTCATCCCAGTGACTACGGCCTATGCCTCGGGCCAAACCTCAGAAGAAGTGATGGCCTTGCAGACCAGAATGTTGAACATGGAGAATGCACTGACCCGAGTAATCCATCACATCGAAGAGCAGGCCATGCAGAACAAGGGCCACCAGGGGACCGAGGACGTCTGAGAGATCCCGTGAGCTCAGCCAACCTAGCTCAAGGCCCGGAAAACCTGTCAGAACTGGAACACTCCATAAAGAGTATCAAGGATGATTGGAACGAAGATATATTCACCACTACCCATGCCGAAACCATGGAACTTAGGAAGCACGTCGAACAAATTACGGCAGAGTTTCAACAAGTTCTTCTCAAGGTGAAGCCGATGGGAACTCAGTGGACAGTAGGTGAAGTGATGTGTAGTTCCAATTCTCCGATCACTCAACAGGTTTTGCGATGCGGTCATTCAGCGTTCAGATTTGGTCTAGAGCAAGGTGATCTGGCCACAAGTACGGGACGGTCGGAACTGTTCACACTGATTGCAAGACATCGTCCAAAACATTTGTGGTACTCTCCAACATGCGGTCCGTGGTCATCATGGTCACAGCTCAATGCTTCACGATCTTTACACCATCACCAATTGTATCAACAAATGAGAAAAGACTTGCAGTATCAAATTGCACTGGGAATTGTACTCTACCGTCGCCAAATGGAAACAGGAAATCACTTTCACTGGGAACAACCACAAAAGTCACTCATGTTTCAAAATCCCAACCTTGCCGAAGTTCACCAACATACTCAAGCCTGTCAATTTGATATGTGCCGTGCCGGAAGTTTGGTAGATCCCGAGAGCCAACTGCCTATGAAGAAGGGGATGACCATACTAACCACCTTTGAGCCATTTTTCAGGAGATTTCATGGACTTACCTGCGACAATAGGCACCAACATCAAGCTATAGAAGGATCATGTTGGATGCCTGGTCATGGACGTGTTCTCAGATCACAGTATACAGAGGTATATCCCCGAAAATTTGCCAGAGCAGTTGCACAAGTGCTCAGCAAAGGGTCCCAGTGTCGTCCATATGGATGGAATGATGATTTGGCAGCGATCCTTGCCGAAGCGGACAGCCGTGCATGTCCCGCCTTTGCAGTAGCCAATAAGTTCCGTTCCAAGCCACAGTTTCCCAAATCAGAGACTGTGACTCCGACGAGCCGTTCCAGCCAGGGGAATAAACGACCAAAGTCCGATTCCCTTCAGGGTATAGCTCCAACTCTTGAGATGTGCCAGCAAGCAGTTCAGGCAGTGATGGAAGAACTACCACGAGTAGGCAAGAGGGATGTCCAGAATACTCCAACCATAACCATGTTGCAGCAAGTATTTCCTGACAAAAAGATTTGCAGAGTCATGGCCTGTAGGGGAACTGAAAGGACAATGGCCCCTCCAAAGGATATGCATGCTCTAGAAGCACCTCTTAGGAAAATGCTGATGTTGCGCAGAGATGGAGAAATCCGACATGAAAAATACTGGGAAAGATGGGCTGACCTTTCCAAACGTCAGTTGACACGGCCATCACATGCATGTAGGGTCAACATCACCGTATTTGCCAGAGATTTTGACACCCATGTTTCTGAAGTGAGACCGTCATCCAGCACTGACATGACAATAAATAGCGATACCACAGTGCCAAGCAGAGTTCCAAACAGGACACAAGATGCACCAATGGTAACAGCTGACAAGACAGCCAATCAACCGACGACTAGTGATAGTGCCAGTTCCGGGCAACCACAGTGCGAAGAAACTGTAGTGCCGCCCATGACACCGATCCCTGAGATGTCTTTTGAGAGCCCAGAACCTTCAACCGAAGGAGAACCCAATACCACTCCGCCGGTGGTTGTGAAACCGCCCCTGGATCCGATCGTGGCACAGCAAGGTACCAGATTCAGAAGTTTGCCAAAATGGGAACAGCAAATGATCCTCAAGCTACATAAGAATTTGGGTCACCCATCAAATGAAAGACTGTCACGAGCGTTACAGGTGCAAGGGTCACGACCAGAAGTAGTTCAGGCAGCTCTGGAAATTCGATGTGCAGTGTGCTCAGCCCATGCACCTCCAAAACATGCACGCCCTGCTACCCTGAAAAATATGATTGACTTTAATCACAAGGTATATCTGGATGGTATCAGTTGGACCAATAACTTGGGAAAGTCATTTCATTTTTTTCATCTTTTAGATGCAGGGACGAATTACCATGTAGCAATTGCCTCACCAGCCAAGACGTCTCAAGACCTAATTCAATTGCTGAACCAGCATTGGATAAGCTGGGCAGGACCTCCGACAGAAATGGTGGTGGACTCTGGAACCGAAATGAATAGCCAAGAATTTGCAGAATTCACACAGCGATTCAATATCCGTACCACCACGACGGCTCCAGAGGCCCATTGGCAAAGTGGAAAGATTGAAAGGCATGGAGCATTTCTCCAGTCTATGTTGAGTAAAGTGGACCTCGAGCACCCAGTTACCAACTATGACAGTCTCCAACAAGCCCTTAATCAATGTACACATGCCAAGAACTCTCTCAGCATAAGACATGGATATGCTCCAGAGGTGATCGTGTTTGGAAAACACACCCGCCTGCCAGGGTCTGTGCTAAGTGACAATTCGCTTCCCTCTCATGAACAGGCGACACAAGAGGAGTCAAGCATGAGTCCACTCAGTTTTCGCCAAACCTTGGCGATCAGAGAAGCGGCCCGCCGATCGTTCCATGCAGCTGACAACAGTGATGTTCTTAGAAGGGCCTTGCTTAGACGGGCATGTCCATCAAGGGGAATTTTCACTAAAGGGGAGTGGGTAATGACATGGAAAGGGGGTCCCTTAAATCAACACCGATGGAGCGGTCCCCATAGAGTCATAATCCAGGATGATCATCATACGGTTTGGTGTACTTCACATGGAAAACTCATCCGGAGCACCCCAGAAAACACCCGAAGGTCTTTGCCAGAGGAGGGATCACCTGAAGGTCCTGAACTTCCTGCCGATATCACTCCAATGACCCAGCAAATAGCCAGAATGAATCAGACTGACAGTCAAACCACAGAATTCCAGGAAATAACACTTGACATTCCCAATGGACTAGATAACCAAGATGTTTCAAGGAACCATCCCAGTCACGCTGAACCTGATAATCCAAATAATGACCAAACTGACAGCCAAGATGAATCGCTGCCTCAACCTGACCATGAACCCGAAAACGGGACGCCCGAAGAATCCCAAACTCATCCCTCAGAAATGCCTGAAGAAGAACTCACTGAGCCTGCCAGTCCTGGAGACCAGGAATTGCTGTACCTGACCTGCCATGAACCAACAAATGCGTTCACGTGCGAAGACGCGGGCACCTTGAGTTGGTCATGTGAGTTTGACATTCCTCTGGAAGAACCTCTATATGAACGAACACCTAATGCTGAAGAGACCTGGTTACTCTTAGCGACAGCCACAAAGAAGCAAAGAACAGAGGTGAAGTTGTCAAACTTGTCCGCAGCTGAGTTTACAGAATTCCAAAAGGCCAAACAGGCTGAAGTGGATAACTGGATCAAGACTGGGATCATCAGCGCCATTCTCAAGAATCAAATTCCAGAAGAACAAAATTTAAGGTGCCGTTGGATCCTCACATGGAAACCTCTTGACAATATCAGCCAAAAGGAAAACACGACCCTGCAAGAGAAAGCCAAAACTACCTGCCAGAACCGGTCCCATAAGGCTAAGGCCAGGTTGGTGGTACTGGGGTATCTAGATCCCAAATTAGAAGAGGTTCCTCGTGATAGCCCAACCCTTAATAAAACTTCCAGAATGATCGTTCTACAAACTATTGCCTCTCACTCTTGGAAAATGAGATCTTTTGATATAAAGGCCGCATTCCTCCAGGGACAGCCCCAAGCTGACAGGGTAATAGCCATAGACCCGGTCCCAGAGTTGAGAAAGGCCATGAACCTAAAGCCTCAAGAAATATGCCGACTGAATAAGGGAGCATACGGTCTCATAGACGCCCCGTATCTATGGTACTGTGCTCTGGTGAACGAACTCTTGCGCCTTGGCTTTGAAGCGTGTCCTTTTGATCCCTGCTGTTTCGTGCTTAGAACACCTGCCACCAAAGAACATGACAGCAGACTGGAAGGAATTTTGGGAATCCATGTAGATGATGGGATAGGTGGGGGAAGCCCAGTTTTCGAAGAAGCCATCAAACAACTTGAAAAGACATTCCCATTTGGTTCCCACAAAGTTTCAGCATTCACCTTCACAGGAATCGAACTCAATCAACACCATGACTTTAGCATCACAATGAACCAATCAGCCTACGTGCGTAAGATCAATCCAATTACAATCGAATCCAACAGAAAATCCCAACTTGAAAATCCAGTCACCGAACCCGAGAGATTAGCCTTGCGCGGTCTTGTAGGGAGCTTACAATACGCAGCTATAAACACCAGACCAGATCTCTCCAGCAAATTATCATTTCTCCAATCTACACTTAACCATGCCAAAATCGAAAATTTGATGGATGCCAATCGCCTACTACATGAAGCCAAGAAACACCATGAAGTTACAATCACTATCAAACCAATACCATACTCAGATTTCAGATTCCTTGCATTCTCAGACGCTTCATTTTCATCATCAACCAAACCCGATTCACATGCAGGCTCCATTATAGTAGGAACTCATCGAGACATCAATCAAAACTGTCAGTGTCCAATCAGTCCACTCACATGGGGTTGCAGAAAGATTCAGAAGGTGGTGACAAGCACTCTTTCAGCAGAGACGATGGCTTTGTCTTCAACCCTTGACCAGCTGAGCTGGCTGAGACTGTTTTGGAGTTGGATACACGATCCGACAGTGCAGTGGAGGAAGCCCGAAGATGCCCTTCAGAAATTGGCACCAGCCATAACCGTTCCCACGAAATCAGAGGATGCCGACCTCACGATAACTGATTGTAAAAGCCTCTTTGACATGATAACACGAACTGCTCCACCTTCATGTTCAGAATTTCGTGTACAATTGATGGCAAGAGCAATCAAGGAGTCTTTGAGAGAGGGCACCATCCTCCGATGGGTTCCGAGCGGGGCACAACTGGCCGACGCACTTACAAAAGCTATGGAGTCCAACTTTCTAAGGGAGACCTTAAGATTGGGATACTATAAGCTGTGTGACGAAGCCTCCACTTTGAAAGAACGTGCCAAGACCAAAGACCGATTGAGATGGCTCCGGTCGCAACCTGAATCTCATTCGAATAAAATATAATTTTTGACGAGTGTTATTAGGATTCAGTTTGCTTCCAATAAGGTCCCAACAACCAATCTTCGCAGGTTTCTTGTGCCATTGGACAATGCATGTCCGCTGATAGCATCACAGGCTCCGGGAGCCAGGCGGTGGGTGCGGAGGGTTTTCTTGAACTTGACGCCATAGGGCTACTACAGTCACAGGTGGCCGGGACCATCTGTTGGACGTGGCCGTCCGTTTTGAAACTGTTTGGTGCTGATAAGTCGTGGGACGACTTTGGTGCGGCGACAGCCAAAACAAGAGGGCATTTGCGCCTTGAGAGCAGGGAACAACTGGGGAATCAGGTGATTTACTTTGGACAGGGTTTCCTTATTCACATTTACTGGTTTTCTTCAGCGGTTCACTGGAAGTGGAGTCCGTGCCAATCACAATATATATATATATATATACATATTTACATATGTACATATATATATATATATCTACGTATACATATATTTATATGTTTATATACATTTACACACATACCTATATGTTTATATACATTTACACACATATATATATACGTATATATATATATTTACATATATATATATATACGTATATATGTATATATATTTACATAATATATATACATTTACATATATATATATACATACATGTATAATATATATATACATACACATTGTTCATTTGTATAATATTTGTGTATTGTGATACATATACACTTGTTTGTGTATGTATATGCATGCATATCTACAAGCTAATTGCCACTTGGTGACATAGCAAAAAACAACACATATGATGAATGATACATGGGCAGATGAACAGTCATAGTGGGGATTTATGGGCTATGAAAAAACAACCTGCAAGACTTGGGGGTTTGAACTCACCAAAGCCGGCTCTTCTGGGTTGAACTCACCAAAATGGAGCAAGCCAATCTGGGGACATAGCAGATACACATTTTTCATACACATCGTACATAAATTTATGGCCGAGTTCACTTGATTGGGAGTTTTGACCGACTGGAGTTGATTGAGATTCTAGGGCCCCATGTGTCCTGGCGGGCCCATTGTGCAGAGACACTACACATAGGTGTCGTAAAATCACGCTGGATGATCAAAAAATAGATGGGTGATCAAACGGAAGAACGAACAGGTATATATATATATATAGATGATCCATTTTTTGGTTATCAATGGTGTACTTATACGATCTTACACGTGTATATATAACTATATATATATATATACATACGTATATACATACATATGTATATATATATATACCGGTTTAAATGGTAGATGACCCTATTGGTGACCAAATGGTGTCCAAATCTCTTTATATTAAGGGCATCGCTGGTGCAGCCATGATCAATCGACATGAAATCCCAGATCGATGCAGTCGATCTCCGGTGGCGGATACGAGGTGTGTGGAACCCTCTTTGTGAAACCAAAAGTGATTTCTGGGTGACGTGCGTAGCGGAAATGCTTTGATGGTCTTCCTAACAGTATTACAGAGAAACAAAAAACATTGTTTCATATTGTTGGTTCATATATTTTCATAGTGTTAAGTATTGTTTCATATTGCTTCTAGTTTGGTTTCTCACTATGATGGTTGGATTTCTACATCCCTGGCTGCAACATGCTGCAACGGTTGCCTCTGTGCCTAAGGAGTCAGTTCTGGCGTTGGACCGGAGCTCTGGGTTGGTCTCTGGATTTCATCCTCCTGTGCTGGGCGCTGTTTCTCCGCAAGATTGGGATTATCGACCAGGGCCAGGATTGGGGGTTTAAATCTGCTGGATCTGAGTTTTCGAAAAAAAAACACACACACTTTGTTTTCTTTTGATGTTTCTGAAAGGTCAGAGTTTCACGGAAAGTTGGGAGTTGGGAGTCCGGCCATTTTCTTTTTCAATCACGCTGACTTTTTGGAGAACGCTCAGCCGACGCAATGGCCGGAGGATCCAGATCTAGAAAGCCTGACGTACGACTCCGCAACTTATGCTGATCTTGTGGCAAGTCAGCTACAAGAAGAACGATATGTCGCTTGTCAGCCTTTTTTTCCCGGCTGTATAACTTGTACCCGTTTCGAAAAGGACGAAACAACACTTTTTGTTCAGAACATGCAGGTTAAAGGAGGAAGCAACACTTTTTGTTGTCCACAAAATCTTCGATTCGCTTCACAGCGGTGGGAGGTATCGGAGTCCAACAGAGCCATCGAAACTGTCCTCGAAGGAGCCTTGCAAGCCCGTTGTCACGTTTGTCTCCTGTGTGTGGTCTTGGGATGCTAAAAACCATATCAACAATCCTTGCGCAAGTCGGCTCGAACTATCACCGCTAGCCGCTTTTTGTGGCCATTTTATGGTAATCTTTCGGCAAAAATGAAGGTTTTTCCTCCCTTCTGAAAGCCATGACCTGACCGTCCAGGCCTGGGCAGACAGCTGGAATCCCTGCGATTGCGTGCGGAAGAGATCATCCGCCCCACAGAGGAGAAGATGCCCAACTACGACGATGTGGCTCGGTGGGACTGGGAGATCGTGGCGACCATATTGGGGTGGCCGTGTTTTGTGGTGATTTTTGATGTGTTTTTGTTGGGTAGAGCTTGTGATTTTGATGAATTTCATGGGTAAAAGCGTGGTAAAAGACCCACCATAAGTTGAGATATAAACCTGTATAATTAAAATCCACTGAAAGGAAGTGGAACTGCAGCCCCAAGCAGCTCCCTTGGTGGATGGGCATTGTTTGGAGGTCAAGAGAATTCGAGGGCAGCTGTGGTGTGTCAGCAGGGTATCAGGGACCAGGGATCAGGGTAGATGGGTCCCAAGTCACCATCCGTTAATCTTTGGTTCATCTCAGTTCATCTCCAAAAGTTTTGTTGGTTTAAGAACGTTTAAATGAACAATTGCAGGGCCGGTTTTTGCATCTGCCAACCTTTCACCAATGGTTTCGGTCATTTGTGACTACCGACTGCTATCAGGTTTTGATCTCCAAGAAAATTGGAGAGCTGCAAATTGCTCTTGAGGAGATTGATTGACTGCAGCCGCTCCTTGAGTGGTTTCCAAACCCATAAAGTCAACGTTTAAGATCAGACCCAGACATATTTGCTCCTTTTTTTCGCAGTTTATTTTGGTAGTACACCTCGCAATTTTAGATATTGCTGTTAGTTACTAGATCCATTTTCTCAACCAACAGCGTCACTGCTGAGAGGACCAGCAGCAGGTGCTGGGCCGTGAAAGTGCGAATGTGCTGATGAAGCTACAACAAAAACCTGGGAAGCTTGGCAGATGCTTAAAACTGCCTGGATTTCAATAGAACATGTGGATTTCATCTACTGAAAACGGTAAAATTTGTTACATTTGAATCCGACATGTGATTTCAATGATGGTGACCTGACAGAAACGGTAATTTTTTTCACCAAAAATGGGTGTTTTTTTTCAGGAAAGAAAGTGATTTAACCCCGAAAATCTGGGTAAAAAACGTGCCGATGTGCATTCGTGTTGCCATCAGTCCTTTTTGATCCAAGGTTCGCACGTGAAGAGAAGCCCACCTCCTCGACAGCTAGTATGTAGGACAAAAAAAAAGTGACAGCTACTTATATCAATTAAACCAATAAAAAAGGTGGGAATCCCTTTGTCATCGTCTGGCACAAGAGTGACATCGACGCTGAGCATTGGACCCCGCTTACCAGAACGAATGGTACAAAGAAAGGCCCCACAGAGTCCTTCCAGAGCACTTCCTGGAGTCAGCTGTGGTTCCTCCATCGTGAAGATTTTGAGGAATGCTGCCTGCAGAAGCCATTTCAGTAAAACTTGGGCACTACTAGGGAGGCCCTTTTGAGCGAAGCCGGTTTTGAGAAGGTTTTCTGGCCCAAGAAAAAACGAGGAGATGAAGCCTCGATGAGAACTTGACCACCAAAGTGATGGATAAGGATAGAGCTGGGAGGATCACATCGGAAGGAGTTAAACTCCTCTTGAACTTTAGGGGCCCAGGAAAGGGCAGAAGAGAAATTGTTGGGGTTTTGACTTTTCGATGGTTTTGGAACACTCAAAGTATTCCATCTGGATGACCAGTTGGTTTGATTTAGTAATTTTTCAGACATTTGGACAGAGCAATGTGAAGGTAAACTCTTCATGAAAACTCGAAAAAAAACGGCTCATCCCCATTGTCAGGTCCAACCATATTATTTTAGTTAATATCCCCAATATCTACCCATCACGCTTGTTGCTTGAACCGCAATTTTCAGAAGATCATATGAAGTTTGGTGATATATCCACACATATATATCCTATTCTAAACCCATGATATCACCATTTGTGTTGAATCTCCACTTTCTTAGTTGCCCTCTGGCAATCAAACCAGGAAATGGAAAATCCCCATGGAAAATTATCTATAACTGGGGTATTGTCCATTGCAACTTTTGATGACCGGATGGTAAACTTATTACATATTACATCCCCATGACATTCCGATTATGGTTGTTTAATCCCTGTTTATTCCTATTCTCTCGCCATCACTATATATCCAGTTTTTTTTTATAGTGCACACATGTATTGTGCATCCCACAATTTCGAGAGAAGTTGGCTACGTCTTAATATTCCACTATTATCTTGGTATCCCATTACTATCCTCGTTATTGTCCTATGTTTATCCCATTACTATCCCATGATTATGCCAATATCATCCCATGTTTGATTGACATGATTAACCTTTTATGGACTAGTACATATAGGTAGGTCATCATGTTATTATCCATTTCATTCCTATTATCATGTATGTATATATATATGTAGTATTATCTATCTCGTTACATTATCCCGGCTTTATATATAGATTATTATCCCATCTTAATATTCCTATTCCCATGTGATTATCCCATGATTCTCCCAAGGATTAGATCTAGATTATATATTTCGATATCCAGCAATATATGTTTTGATTATTCTATTATATACTCACTGGGCATTGTAACGGTTCGTAGGATGTTGCTTTTGCCATGTGGGACTTCTGGCTTGCGGTTGAATCGGCGGCGTATGTGAGTTGGCTTGCAGTTTTTTTGTCGAACAACACATATACTTCTTATTCATTATTATTCGTTATCTTCCCGTTTCAAACGAATAATAATGAATAATAACGTTGTTCGAAATGGGATATCCGTTATATCCCCATTGCTGGTTGATCTGGTTGTGCAACGCGCCAAAACCTCAGGATTTTGCGGCAACTGGCCGATGAGATTTCGCCGGTGATGCCGGAGAGGCCCAACAATGGCCTCTTGCCGGAGGCCCGTCCTCCTGGGCGAATGGCCGGGATGAAGAAATGGTGAATTATGCATCAACAACGGTGATTTAGCCATGAAAAAGGGTTATTAAAACATGAAACATGGTGAATTAACCATGAAAAATACAGTATTAAATATTCAGACAAACCCAGAAGTTAAATGGATGTCTGATGTTAATGAATCTTCTTCGATCTTTCGATCCATTGTTAACATCATGTTCTATATGAATATTGAATGGATGTTAATGAATACAAAACCATCAAAAATGGTGATTTAATCATGCAACATATTCGATACAATGGGTATACAATAAGAATGTTTGAAGGATAATTTTGATTAGATACGGGGGCCCTTTCCTGTGCGGGTGTGACAATGGGGGATACCCTAAAATGGCGATTTATAATGGGGAAACTGATGATTAACTGTCAAATTGTGAATGGGAGTACCTCATTTTCTTTTTAGATAAATCCAGATGTTGAATGGATGTTTAATATACCTTTGGTAATTCAACAGTTGGCAAACTGGAAGCCATGGCCCGTCTAATTCAATGATTCAGCTACAAGAAACGGTGATTTTCCATAGTATGTTAAAGTACTAGGAGGGTATCTCTTTTTTGAAGGATAAGAATCACAAGATGATGATCGGACAATAGTTTTGGATCAATAAGTACTGGGACATGAATTTTCAATAAGTATAGGGTTTGTCTGAACATGGGGGCATCGGCACCGAATTTTCTGCCCATGAGCGATGAGGTTTTGAAGCATACCCCCCTGGATAGAGGGGTTTCTTCCATAATTTAACTGCTAGCTGGGAGGGATTGACGGGAAAGAACTGGCTGGAACATATGGAATATAGGGGATTGACCAGCAAATCTGTTAAATTCGATTCAGCAGTATGATATTGGCCGGGATGGCGTCAACTTTGTCAACACCTCTGAGAATTGGCCCGGAGGGAGCAAGTGGGGAGAGATGATCCAGGTCAGATCGTCACTGGCATACCTTTCATTTGCATCCTCCTTATAACGGGGGCAAACATCCTATTTAGAAACGACAGATGACATATATATATATACATATACATACATACATACATACGTACGTACGTACGTACGTACGTACTTACTTACATACATACATACATACATACATACATACATACATACACACACATACACACATACACACATATACATATACATATACAAATACATATACATATACATATATATATATACATATACATATACAAATACATATACATATATATATATGCTAGCCCCCCCCAAAACCGACGTTTTTCTCTTTCTTGTTTTGAAGACTGAGTAAATAGCGTGCTTTTTAAAATAAGTATACTGGAGTGATTTTCGATTTCTTCTGACAATTACGTTGAGCAACATGAGAATCTAGAGGAATATTGGAAATAAACTCTATTTTTGATATTTTAGATTTCATATCTAATATCAAGTTTAGAACTGGAGTAAAAAGCTTTAAAGCCTCATCTAAGATATTTAATAATCTGTCTTCTGGAAATTCCATTCCACATCCTTCCACCATAGTTATTTCATTTTTTGAGCCACTAATAAATATATCCATATTCTCTGAAGAAGAACTAGAAACAGATGGAAAAAAAAACTGGTGATTCAAATTGTGCCAAAATATCTAAAACATGCTATTTTTGTATTTTTTTTTTTTCTACTTGCTTATTGTTTTAATTACATACACACAATTTTTACAATCTACCAAAAAATAAAAATAAATAAAGCTCTTGCTATAAATAGTTGGATTAAAAATGATTGGCAAAACTGCTTTAAACGCTAGCAAGAAAATATATATCTAGATATATATCTTATAAAAATCACTTAATTAAACTCGACAATCTATTACTACAAAACCAATTAAATCTTAATAGTTCTTATTTCTTCAGTTGTTTAAAAGATATGGATAAAAGGATAGTGCAATGTCGCATTTTAATAAAGCAAAATCATACTCAAAGCACAAACATGTATCATAACATTATAATAAGCATCAATATAATTAAGGATTAATTTTTGATTATTTATTTTCCAGAAAAGATCTATATACGTCTAAACCCATATAGAATAGAACAAAATTTAGCTCCTATATTAAACCCATCTTTTCAAGAGACAATAAAATTGTACTGACTTAAGAATATGCTATGCAAGGGAACTATTAGTATTTAAAAAATACACTCTTGCCTACAAATTACTTAATCAAGCTAGCAAAATATAACATATATTGACAATATATAAAAATACATAACTTGGCAGGATTTATAGCACTTGTAAAATTAAAAGTATATAATATTGCACCAAAGCATTTTTCTTATATAGATGCGATTGCTACATCACCAAATCAAATAAGTAGACATTCCTATTTTATGTATATTTGCATGCAACATATGCAACATCTAAAATATCATGCACTGTCAAAAATATTATAAAGGGCTTCAAAATACTGTGCACCTTTTTATGGAATGATAGCACATGAATTACTCAAGAATTCACAAATCTCTTTACCAAAAACAATTGATATTAATGATGCAAATATATATATATATATATATGAATGTCTTAAAACAAACATTACAAGATGAAATTGAGTTTATATCATACCTAATAAAATATAAAACATATAACCTTGCAGACAGTTTAGTAACTCAACTATTTAACAATATATGTAAAGATATTTTTCATATAACAATATTTTTGATATATGGACAAGAGAATCAACATCTGCAAGTGATTATTTGTCAATGTGCTTTGAGTTGTAATATTGTAATTGCAGATAAACTGTTTCAACAAATGCCATTACCTGATGAAATTCCACTTCAAACTCATTATTTAACTCATGTACAATATATATGTATATATACGTATATATTAATTGTTGTCTTACTGTTGAACCCAGGTACTTAGAGTAATTTTGTCACCAAAAGCGTTTGCAAACGTTTGCAAACGAGTCCAGGGACCCAAGTACTTAGAAAGATTCAAGATTCAAGATTCCCAGAAAGAATTCTTGAATCCAAGGGGATAGGATTCAAGATTCAAGATTCCCAGAAAGAATTCTTGAACCCCAGGATTCAAGATTCAAGATTCAAGATTCCCAGAAAGAATTCTTGAATCCAAGGGGGCAGGATTCAAGATTCAAGATTCAAGATTCCCAGAAAAACTTCTTGAATCCAAGGGGATAGGATTCAAGATTCAAGATTCCCAGAAAGAATTCTTGAATCCCAGGATTCAAGATTCAAGATTGTCAAGATTAAGATTCCAGGAAAAAGAACTTAAGTGAATCGCCAGAGAGTTCAAGATTCAAGAACGCTATATCCACCGTGTGGATTCAAGAATTCTTATATGGGAAAGTCTTGAATCTTGGAATCCTGGGGATTCAAGAAGTTTTTCTGGGAATCTTGAATCTTGAATCTTGAATCCTATCCCCTTGGATTCAAGAAGTTTTTCTGGGAATCTTGAATCTTGAATCTTGAATCCTATCCCCTTGGATTCAAGAAGTTTTTCTGGGAATCTTGAATCTTGAATCTTGAATCCTGATCAGGAACGTTTGCAAGCGTTTGCAAACGTTTGCAAATACTTCTTGTAAAAAATACTCTAAGTACATGGATTTAGTAATAGTAAGATAACAAATAATATACATATGTGTATATATATATATGCATATATATATGTATGATACTGCCCCACTGGATCTCAAACTGAACAAGGTAACTATCCCAAAAGCGTTACAATCTTGAAAATGTCGTTTTTTTTTTTTGGGGGGGGGTACCATATATATATACATATACATACATATACATATACATACATTTACATACAAATACATACATATGCATACATTTACATACATATACATACATATACATACATATACATACATATACATACATATACATACCTATACTTACATATACATACATATACATACATATACATACACATACATACATACATATATATATATATAGATATTTACATATATACATATATACATATATACATATATACATATATATTTACATATATATATACATATACATATATATATATACACATATACACATATATATATTAATGCACTCATACATATATATATATATACATATACACATAAATATATTTACATATGTATATATATATATATGTTAATACATGCATATGAGTACATATAAATACATTTACATTTACATTTACATTTACATTTACATTTACATTTACATTTACATACAGACAGACAGACAGACAGACAGACATACATACATACATACATACATGCATATTTATATATACATATACATATTAATATTAGTATATATATATATTAATACGTCCATATGTCACATCCAAGACATTCCCCAGGAGTTGCCTCGATTCCTGGAGCAATCTGCCGTGCCGGTCCTGGCCTTCCTGGGGGTCTCCTTTTTGGTGGCGCTGCTCTCGCGGCAGTTCCTGCGGGTGGTCACCGTTTGGCGGAAGAACGTGGAGGAACGGAAGGCCGAGAAGGTCAGGAAGATCCAGTGCTTTGGCACTGAAAACCGGGATGAGTTGATGATTGAAAGAGGATTTCGCGGTTTATAATATTTTGTAGTCATGGGGTAAAACACATATGTATATATATATACATGTATATATATAATGTGTGTATGTGTCTATATATAAACATATACAATATATATATATATATATTGAAACCCCCAATCCTTAGCAAAGGTGGTTTGTAACGAGGTCAATGGATTGGTTGTGTATATGAGAGCAACCAACTTCTAGCTGGGGCCCCTGGGGGCAAGGTTGGGGATGGTTCGGGAGATACTTGGATGTGCATCAATGTGAGATGGGTATAGGTTATATGGGTTATATGGGTTTTCGGGAGAAACTCCCCAGTTGCATACTTAGTATCCCATTTTCTTCACCCGTATGCAACTGGCAACTGGGGAGTTTCCGTTTAGAACTGGAGCACAATTTTAGAGTATTGCACGCTGTGATGCAACCAGAGGACCAGGAAGAAGTGGAATTACATGACCCTTCCACCCAATCACAACTCTGTAGAGTGTGACTTGACCGCGAGGCCCCGGAGGTAGTATGAAATACCAGTTCGTATATTTAAATGTAGTTACGGTATGTTTAAATGAATTGGATTCCGTATGTTTAAATGGCTGGGCGGGCCAAGGAAAACCTTCCCGGAGGTAGTCCACAATACCTGTTCGTATATTTAAAAGTCCGTATATTTAAATGTAGTTGCCGTATATATATATATATATGTGCACATACATATACGTGTATACATATATAACTATATGTATGTATGTAATGTAATGTAATGTAATGTAATGTAATGTAATGTAATGTAATGTATGTAATGTATCTAATGTATGTAATGTCTGTAATGAATGTATGTATGTATGTCTGTCTGTATGTATGTATGTATGCATGGATGTATGTATGTATGTATGTATGTATGTATTAATGTAATGTAATTTAATGTAATGCAATGTAATATATTGTAATGTATGTATGTATGTATGTAATTAATCAATGTATGTATGTAATGTAATGTAATGTAATGTAATGCAATGCAATGCAATGCAATGTAATGTAATGTAATGTAAGCTAGGTATGTATGTATGTATTTATGTATGTATGTATGTATGGATGTATGTAATGGTATGGTATGTATGTAATGGTATGGTATGGTATGGTATGGTATGATATGGTATGGTATGGTATGGTATGGTATGTATGTAATGTATGTAATGTATGTAATGTATGTAATGTATCTAATGTATGTATGTATGTTATGTTATGTCATATTATGTCATGTTATCTTATGTTATGTTATGTTATGCTATGTTATGTTTGTAATGTAGGTATGTATGTATGTATGTAATGTAATGTAATTTAATGTAATGTAATGTAATGTAATGTATGTATGCAATGTATGTAATGTATGTAATGCATGTATGCATGTATGCATGTATGCATGTATGCATGTATGCATGCATGCATGCACGCACGCACACACACGCACGCACGGACGTAGGTATGTAGGTATGTAGGTATGTAGGTATGTAGGTATGTAGGTATGTAGGTATGTAGGTATGTAGGTATGTAGGTATGTAGGTATGTAGGTTTGTAGGTATGTAGGTATGTAGGTATGTAGGTATGTAGGTATGTAGGTATGTAGGTATGTAGGTATGTAGGTATGTAGGTATGTAGGTATGTAGGTATGTAGGTATGTAGGTATGTAGGTATGTATGTATGTATGTATGTATGTATGTATGTATGTATGTATGTATGTATGTATGTATGTATGTATGTATGTGTATATATATATAGATAGACATGTACGGTACATATCCATACATATATAGTATATAGATACATTGGATGCTTGGAAGAATAGAAGGACAGACAAATATTATATATTCATATCTCCTCATGTTGTGTCACATTTCATGTTCGAATGCATCAGCAGTGAATCTCGTATGCTGGGCCACTGAGGAAAGCTCGCTTCAATCAGTTCACCAGCAACTTACAGAAGTCTCTGGAGGATTTGGCCAAGGGCCGTTTAGCCAAGGCAACGGGTGTTCCACAGGTGACAGTTCCAGTTGAACAGTTTTGGTTTCCCTGCGGTAAACTAACAGTTAGCGAACTGGAAAATCACCATCTTGATGTTCGGGAAATCAAGGAACTAAATGGATCTAAATAGGTCAATCAACTATTTCTATAGGTCATTTTCAATGGTTGATTTACACATATTTCAAATATTTGATTATAAACCTCTGGAAGCCCATTTAGTAATGGTAACCAACTATAATTCTTCAATAACAAACTGTAACAAATTACCAGAGGGTTTCATGCTGCGTTGCCATGTTGAAATCAGTCAGGCGGCCAAGGGCTTCGATGAGCTGGCCGTCTTTGCAGACCGATGGGCTTCAGAGCCCACCTGGGAGGCTGGGAATTCGGCTTAACATATGATGATGATGATGATGATGATGATGATGATGATGGTACCAATTTTACGATGGATAATAACAGTAATATAATGAAATAATCTCATGATCCTTCAGAGATTTGAATGGCGAGCTTTCCCGGTAGTGAAGATCCGCAGCTGCTGGGTGAGTTCAGTGAGGTTTGCAGCTGCAATCACTATAGGATCACCGGGATTTTTCCTCATTTGGGATGGTGAAGATCCAAAGATCTTCGGTCGAAAACGGTGAATGGTTATGGTTGTGAACACCTTTTCATGGGGAGATAAAACCAGTTTTAATGTTTTAATGTACGTAGTTATTAACCACTTTTAATCTTTATCTTCATGATTGTTTCAACGTTCCACGTTTGACACGTTTTCTGGTGTTTTCTTGCTATGGTGAGGTATCCAAGCTTAAGTTTATGAAGGGTTGTGCCTCGGAGTCTCACTCGTGGCCACCTGGGTGCTTCTTTAAATCCCGCGCATGAAGGAGCTGTTGTGTCAGAAAGAGGTAGATCACAACAAGTGTGCCATGGTCAAAAGATTGATTAGACATCCATGTTGAGGGATGGTCATTCATCGATCAATTGCCATTTAGATACCCATTCTCCTCAATCAAAGGTGGAAAATCATCCATTTATAGTTGGTCTTCCCAGCTATCAACCCCCCATTTATAGTGGACGGCAGGAGCTGCTCCGGGCAGAGATTGCGGCCTTCTGGGAGCGATGGGGACCGCAGGCGCCGTTGTCACTGCATCTTTTAGAGATCATTATTGATTGGATATCAGTGGCATTATCTTTTGGGAACATTCGCTTGGGATCCATATCACATTTATTCCCTTTTAGAGATCGTTAGTTTTGCAGATTTATCATCAACGTTTTTGACCCAGATCACCTCACTTCACTGAGACGGGGCTTGCATTGGTTGATGCGGGTGAGAAATCTGGAGTAGCTACAATGTGGGGCCCCCAAGATAGCCAAGTTGGTTTTGACTCCCACTATGGTTTATGATACATATAACTATAGTTAATGGGGTTTATAAACCAACTTATAACTGGGGGGCCCACATTGTATAGCTCTTGTTTGGGCTAAAAATCATTTGCCAGGATTTCTGACACAAACGTTCAGAGCAAGTGAAGGGTCATGCTTCCGTATTTATCGATTGACAGCTCGTTGCTTTGTACGTAGCTGTATAATCTAAGAGCAGCTTCAGCAGCTCACAGAAAAGGATGCCAATGGACCCACACATCCCACACAATTCGTCATTCTTAGTCTTGGACCCACAAGATATTGGTGAGTCTGTCTAAAAATAGGGTATCAACCCCATATAAAGCCCATCGTTTTCCCTATCTTTCAATGCCAAGCCAACTGAGCTCAACTAGGGTCCCATCAACGCCTCTGAAAAAGCCCTGGGCGCAGAGGCCTTCCGCTTAGAGGCCAATATCCAGGATTGGACCGGTGTAGCTTGGCGCAATGAGCAGTGGCTGCGACTTACAGTGGCGACCGATCATTCGGGGATTATACTGACCAAAATTCATTGGGGAATATCAGAATCCATGAAATGGACATCCTTATCAACGCCCGCGTTAACTTTTGTGTAATTTGACTATGGCACACATGTTTTTTTCTTCCGGAAAAATGGAATGACGGGTTTTTCTCAGGGGGTTGAAACAAAACTGACAAGATGGTCAGGTAGGAAATAACAATTGGTGATGTGGTTTGGAAACAAAAAATTAGATTCTTCCTCAACGATGGCTGGCCTTTGCAGGCGCCGCGTTCGGGTGCGCCGGAGCAAGCCAAATGGGTGGCTGATAGGTGGGCGAAGTCAAGTGATACTGGGTAGCTTGTAGCAGACTATCACTGAGTTGGTTCAAGGCGAGAGCTACTGGAAACCCACGCTGTTTCATCATCCAGGGATCTGCGACAGAATCAACCAAAAAATCGAGTCCTATGGAAATCTGCAGGGTCAGTTTTTTGGATGAAGTATGTATTATATATATATATATATATACTCATATTATCCCCATGAATCTCCCCTTGAAACCTTTGCACAGGTCCCTAAGGGTCCGCTCTCCGAAAAATTGCAGGTGGTTTTCCTCAGCCAAATCCGTGATCAAAGACTTTGTGACTCAGCTTAGCATTTGATCATGAAGCCATATATCAGGTGTATATATATATAATATATATATGTATATGTATAGAAATCACTACAAACATTATAGGACCGGATAACCCCACATGTTAGCAACTTCTTCAGACTTAGACGGAGCACAGAAAGCGAGAAGGGAAGAGGAAGTATGAGAGTGATGGAGGGACGATGGTGGTATGTATGTAGGTAGGTAGGTAGGTAGGTAGATAGGTAGGTAGGTAGGTAGGTATGTATGTATTTAGGTATCTATGTATGTATGTACGTAGGGTAAGTTGTTTGTGAGTAAGTTGCTTCGCTTTCATCGAGCTCCACCAGGCTCTGATGTTTTTTTCCGACACACTATCAAAACGATGGTGTGCTCACCATACTTCCGCTGACCAAAGTAATGTTCTGCACTCTTTCGAGCGCAGCCGCACATTTTGTGAACTCTTTCTGCATGCCCTGTGGCTGGTAAACATCGCTGGCACATGATGATGATGATGATGATGATGATGATGATGATGACGATGACGATGATGATGATGATGATGATGATGATGATGACGATGACGATGACGATGATGAATATGATGATGATGATGATGATGATGATGATGTATGTGAGTGAGTGAGTGAGTGAGTGAGTCAGTGAGTCAGTGAGTCAGTGAGTGAGTGAGTGAGTGAAGTGAAGTGAAATGAAGTGAAGTGAAGTGAAGGGAAGGGAAGTGAAGTGAAGTGAAGTAAAGTGAAGTGAAGTGAAGTGAAGTGGAAGTGAGTGAGTGGGTGAGTGAGGGAGGGAGGGAGTGAGGGAGTGAGTGAGTGAGTGATTGAGTGTGTGTGTGTGTGAGTGGGTGAGTGGGTGAGTGAGTGAGTGAGTGAGTGGGTGTGAGTGAGTGAGTGAGTAAGTGAGTGAGTGAGTGAGTGAGTAAGTACATGTTCCACGCCTGCCAAAGCGTATATCTGACCCCTTGGCAGTGCACATTGTCCCACGCCTGCCACGCAAAAGCGGCGGAGGCCCATGCCTGCCACGCAAAAGACGCGGAGCCCGAGGGACGCCAGGGCGTACATCCGACCCCTTGGCAGTGCACATTGTCCCACGCCTGCCACGCAAAAGACGCGGAGCCCGAGGGACGCCAGGGCGTACATCCAACCCCTTGGCTGCTCACATTGTCCCACGCCTGCCACGCAAAAGACGTGGAGCCCGAGGGACGCCAGGGCGTACATCCGACCCCTTGGCAGTGCACATTGTCCCACGCCTGCCACGCAAAAGACGCGGAGCCCGAGGGACGCCATGGGCGTACATCCGACCCCTTGGCTGTGCGCATTGTCCCACGCCTGCCACGCAAAAGACGCGGAGCCCGAGGGACGCCAGGGCGTACATCCGACCCCTTGGCAGTGCACATTGTCCCACGCCTGCCACGCCAAAGAGGCGGAGCCCGAGGGACACCAGGGCGTACATCCGACCCCGTGGCAGTGCACATTGTCCCACGCCTGCCACGCAAAAGAGGCGGAGCCCGAGGGACGCCAGGGCGTACATCCGACCCCTTGGCTGCTCACATTGTCCCACGCCTGCCACGCAAAAGAGGCGGAGCCCGAGGGACGCCACGGCGTACATCCGACCCCTTGGCTGCTCACATTGTCCCACGCCGGCCACGCAAAAGACGCGGAGCCCGAGGGACGCCAGGGCGTACATCCGACCCCTTGGCTGCTCACATTGTCCCACGCCTGCCACGCAAAAGACGCAGAGCCCGAGGGACGCCAGGGCGTACATCCGACCCCTTGGCAGTGCACATTGTCCCACGCCTGCCACGCAAAAGACGCGGAGCCCGAGGGACGCCAGGGCGTACATCCGACCCCTTGGCTGCTCACATTGTCCCACGCCTGCCACGCAAAAGAGGCGAGTGTGAGTGAGTGAGTGAGAGTGTGTGTGTGTGTGAGTGAGTGTGAGTGAGTGAGTGAGTGAGAGTGAGTGAGTGAGAGTGAGTGAGTGAGTGTGTGTGAGTGAGGGTGTGTGTGTGTGAGTGAGAGTGAGTGAGTGTGAGTGAGTGAGTGAGAGGGAGTGAGTGAGTGTGTGTGTGTGTGAGTGAGTGAGTGTGAGTGAGTGAGTGAGAGTGAGTGAGTGAGTGTGAGTGAGTGAGTGTGTGTGAGTGAGTGTGAGTGAGTGAGTGTGTGTGAGTGAGGAGGTGTGTGTGTGTGTGAGTGAGTGAGTGTGAGTGAGTGAGTGTGAGTGAGTGAGTGAGAGTGAGTGAGTGTGAGTGAGGAGGGAGGAGGGAGGACGGGAAGGAGGAGGAGGGAGGAGGAGGACGAGGAGCGGATATACAGAACTAAAAACAAAAACCCCACACGTCAATGTGGGGAATAAATAGGAATAAAGTGCCAGTAGTACCGCGCAAGGCGGTGGCGGAAGTTTCAAAGATAGTCAACTGTAGGAGAGGTGAGCTATTGTGATGCATGGATGGCAGAGCGAAACAACTGATGGACCGAAAGGTGGTTTTGCTTTTTGGAGTGGTTGCAGTGGTCACCTCACCCGCAACTGCTGGATGCAGTGTGGTGCAGTGCAGTGCAGTGTAGTTGTAGTTGTAGTAAAGTGTAGTGTAAAAAGTGTAGTGTAGTTTAGTGCAGTGTAGTGCAATGCAGTGTAGCGTCGTGAAGGTGTAGGTGTAGGTGTAGGTTTAGGTGCAGGTGCAGGTGCAGGTGTAGGTGTAGGTGTAGGTGTAGGTGTAGGTGTAGGTGTAGTAGTAGTAGTAGTAGTAGTTGTTGTTGTTGTTGTGGTGGTGGTGGTGGTGGTGGTGTGAGTGTAGTGTGGTGCGGTTGAACGTCCAAAAGTGGTCCGAACATGTGGTGTTTTTAGCATTTTGACTTCGAAATGTGCTTCGTGCCACAACAGCGTGCACTTTTTGCACATCTCAACTGCCAAAGGTGCTCCAGACCTGAAGCGGTTTGTACATTTTTGCTTCGAAATGTGCTTCGCGCCACAACAGCGCGCACTTTTTCGACATCTCAACTTACCAAAAAAAGCGAAAAACGGAAAAATAGTCTTCACTTTTTTTTTTTTTTCGGCATTCGATTCGAAAATGTGGCTTCGCGCCACAACAGCGTGCACTTTTTGCACATCTCAAGTGCCAAAGGTGCTCCAGACCTGAAGCGGTTTGTACATTTTTGCTTCGAAATGTGCTTCGCGCCACAACAGCGCGCACTTTTTCGACATCTCAACTTCCAAAAATAGTCGGAACGTGGTGTGTTTTTAGCATTTCGACTTCGAAAATGTGCTTCGCGCCACAACAGCGTGCACTTTTTGCACATCTCAAGTGCCAAAGGTGCTCCAGACCTGAAGCGGTTTGTACATTTTTGCTTCGAAATGTGCTTCCCGCCACAACGGCGTGCACTTTTTCAACATCTCAGCTTCCAAAGTTGCTCTGGACCTGAGGCGTTTTGTACATTGGTCGAAACCTCATAAACATAAGTTCTACATGAAACAGCTCAACCTTTTCAAATTGACATACTCGCATACTAGCCCAACATTAACGTAAGTTATATTCAAAACCTAGTCTGGAAGGAGGAAAATCAAGAGGTCCTAGGACCTCCATCAAACCAAGAATCAAGAACCAATTTCCCCAAAACTTTCAGTGTAATCTTGGTTCTTGGTTCTTGGTTCCACGGAGGTCCTACGACCTCCTAAGACCCCTTGCTGCCAGAACCTTCATGTCTTACAAGTGTTTCTATATCTATGGTACCCCGGTTTATATATATATATGTATGCAATGCAATGCAATGCAATGCAATGCAATGTAATGTAATGTAATGTAATGTAGTGTAGCGTTGTGTAATGTAATGTGCTGTAGCGTAGCGTAGCGTAATGCAACGCGATGCAATGCAATGCAATGTAATGTAATGCCACCTGCGTGTATGTATATGTGTGTGTATACATATGTGTGTGTGTGTGTGTACATATACATATATGTGGTACCTCATCTTGTGTGTCCCTGAAAAACAATGAGTGATGAAACAATTTGCACAGTAATATGCCGTAAACTGTGCAAACTTTGCAAAAGTTCTGGGATTCAAGGTTCAAGATTGTGAGAAAAACTGTTTGAATCCAGATCCTCGCTCCAGACTTCCCTCATCAAGACTTAAGGCTTGGGATTCTTTTTTTTTGGAATCTTGAATCTTGAATCCTGGAATGCAGGCGACGCCGACGATGCAAAAAAACACGAAAAAACCTGCAAAAACTGAAAAAACTATTCCCCGCAGAACTATGCCTGGCTTTGGGCATGGTTGCCTAGATTCCGTTTTTTCGGTACTATCCTAAGTCTACCAAATTAGTTCAATGTGTCCCAGCGGTTGGAGGCAAGAATGTTTCAGAGAACCTTGAACCTTGAACTTGTTTATCAGTAATATATATATATATACACATACATACATACATACATACATACATACATACATACATACATACATACATACATACATACATACATACATACATACATACATACATACATACATACATACATACATACATCATACATACATACATACATACATACATACATACATACATACATACATACATACATACATACATACATACATACATACATACATACATACATACATACACATACACATACACACACACATACACACACATACACACACATACACACATACACACATACACACACATACACACATACACACATACATATACACAGACACACATATATATATATATACACACACACACGCACATGGTACCCCCTCTCTAACCTACTGCCCGAAATTAACCCCCAAAACGGTAGATCTTTGGGGGCAGGTACCATATCGGTCGAAGGAGACGATCCAATGGGACCAAAACATTGTGTTTTTTTGTGGATGAAATCCACGGATGACTGAGACCACAAAATGGAGGTTTAACTAATATGAATATGGAATGGGATTATTCAATTCTAAATCAATTCTAGAGACTTCATTGTGACTGTGAAATGGTTCGAATTTCAAAGCTCATAAACTCGTTGGACATTGCGATGATGGGAGTTTCTGAAAGCTGAAGGCTTTGGATGCGGTCAAGGCTTGGGGTGAGGTGGGGCCGCCGCGTTTGAAACGGGTGCATTCTATGTTTGAAGACAAGGATTGCTTCTCGAAGCTTTCTTGATCAAGTGATAAACCCAACAAACCATACCAGTACCTAGATCCACCCTTTGTTTTTCCCCTTGAAGAATAAACAATGGGTACGCCCGATCATAAACCTCAATCATTATTGAATATAGGGTTTCGGTTTTTTCACTCCACAGACATTGCTTAATCATAATATTCACCATAAAGACTTGCCAGAATCGCAGAATTAAAGTTTTTTTTTCTACAAATATATGTAAACTAACAATGTTACAATGTTTTTTTGTTTATATAACATCCACAATTCATGGTTTCCTGCCCATTTTGCCTTTGGCCACACATACCGGAGGTTTCCGATCCATGGGGGTACCCCTAAATCATCCATGTCAATCGGTTTTTCCATGAAATAAACCATCCAGCTGGTGATCCCCCATGGAAACCCCCCAAAAAAGACATACCCTCTGGTAAACTAACATAGCTATTGAAAATGGCCATAGAAATAGTGAGTTTTCCCATTAAAAGAGGTGGATCTTTCCATAGTTTATTGTACGTTTACCAGGCCGGGTAAATCCCATTAAATTCCATTAAACCACCATAAACCCTCATTAAATCACCATTTTCCTATGGTTTTCCTATGGTTTTCCCCCAAAAATCCATAAATCCACGGTGGATTTTGGCGCCACGACAGGAAGCCAGCAAGGCAGCGGCTGCGGCGCGCGCAGCACAACGCAGCTCCGCAGCGGAGCGAGCGGAGGCTCCGCGGCTGAACTCTCAGGA